AGCGCATGAAGACGCCACGGAGTTGGCCCCAGACGGCCCATCTAGGGCCTCAAAAGACGACCCCAGAAGCAAGTCACGACCATGTCAGAACCCTCAGAACTCATTCGTCATGGAACCCTGGACAAGTTTACATGACAGAAAGGCTCAAACTTGTCACAATGTAAATAGTTCCAGAGGGCACTCGTGTGTGTACCTCGCGACCCTACATCCCCAGGAGCGATGGCCAAACATCGCGGCGGCGCAAGCGAATCAAGTTTACAAGCGTCACCGCTCTGACCTAAGACACCAACAATTTCACCTCAAATCGAACGTCATCCGAGCTCAGTTTCAGAGTCTCCGCAATGCTGCGCCCTTCATGCGCAGCACATCAGCGAGATCATCCGTTGGTGCAGTGGAACGTTCTCTGCATCAGAATCACTGCCCAGGACAGCCAAGGCCAAGCTCACTCGATTCATAGTCTCCAAAGCATCTAAGCCGAAAAAGGGTGCACCGAACCGAACTCTGAATTAGTCACAACCGTTCTTTTCTGCCAGAGCCGAAACGCATTTAAGGCACAACCAACTCGATCCAAATGGCAGAAAATCCGCCCAGAACTGGAGTGGCACCGTCCACCGCAGATCCAGCTACGTGCCCCACCCATACATGGAAAAGGTGCAACCTTGCCCGATGGATGACAACACTCTCTGCAAGACTGACATGGGTGCATCACCGAGTCGCGTACGGCAGCTTCGTGTCGTGCCGACCCCGGCGTTGGTTCCTGACACCGCAGGGATCGTTCAACCTTGAACGATCGGCCGCTGCCGCAACGTCCGATCGTTGAACATCGATCGATTCTGGGTCGCCGGCGGCGTTCAACCTTGAACGCCCGCGCTGGGGTCGCCGCTGGTCGACACGGCGCAAACCTACCGTACTCGAATGATCAAACCATCACATGTTTTGGACACAGCATAACCCAGCCGTATCGAAGTGTTTCGCTCGCTGAGACACAACGTATCCCACTGTTGAACGACATCGTGCGACAGACGTGACAGGTAAAATTATCCTGGCGAAGGACCCAACCATATGCAAGTGTGAGAACCGCAGGGCAAGTGGGACGAAGCAAGGGGAATTCCCAATGGGGCCACGAACCGCGTGAGGGGTGCGCCAAAATGCGGCGGGCGAGGCCTTCGGTGGAGCCCCCTTATGGGACCACGAACCCTGTGAGGGGTGCGCCAAAATGGCGCGTGGCCGCCATGCGAACCCTGCCACTGGGGCCTTCGGTGAAGATCCCGATGGGGCCACGCACCATGTGAATGGTGCGGCAAAATCGGGCGGGGCCGCCATGCGAACCCTGCCACTGGGGCCTTGGCCACGAACCGGGTGAGGGGTGCGCCAAAATGAGGCGGGACCGCCATGCGAACCCTGCCACTGGGGCCTTCGGTGGAGCTCCCTATGGGACCACGAACCGTGTGTGCGCCAAAATGCGGCGGGGTGCCGCCATGCAAACCCTGCCACTGGGGCCTTCGGTGGAGCTCCCTATGGGACCACGAACCGTGTGAGGGGTGCGCAAACATGGCGCGTGGCCGCCATGCGAGCCCTGCCACTGGAGCCTTCGGTGGGGCTCCCTATGGGGCCACGAACCGTGTGAGGGGTGCGCCAAAGTGAGGCGGGGCCGCCATGCGAACTCTGCCACTGGGGCCTTCGGTGGAGATCCCTATGGGGCCACGAAACACTGTACTGGGTAAACGCACGGAGGAAGGAGGATGGGGAGAAGGGAGGAGGGGGAGGAGGAGGAAGGAAGGAGGAGAACGCGGGGACCGTCTCTTCAAAACGAGGACCCAGGAACAATGCATAGCTCGCTCCTTCGACGACCGCAGGAAGCAATGCTTTACTTGGTCCCAAAATCGGGCACCGTGGTATTGCCGATCGCGTTCCGCTTCCCGCCCCCCAGAGCGTCCCGTGCTTGCCTGCAGGCGCGACCCACATGCCACAAGAGGCCTTCCAGAAACTGTATCTGATACATCCAAGATGGGCTAACTCCTAAGAATGCTCTCAAGAACTCGACGATGTACCCATACACTTCCAGTGCATGTCACGATGACGTCCCCAACGACCCTGCGGCTAATATCTGCTTTCTCGCCATGTCGCCCCAGGCCGTCACACAACGGCTCCTGTATGCGGTCGTCAGGTCGCCCAAAGACGACCGTAAGGACATCTCTGGCGGGCATCAAGACGCTACGGAAATGGTCGAGGACAAGGTCACGGCCGCATCAGAACCCCAAGACGCCCTCGCCAAAAATCCATGAAAAACTGGCTTGGAAGGACGATTCATCCATATAAAAACAGGTGTAACAGTATATGTATATATATATATATACATATCGCGTCCCCAGGCGCGGTGGCGGACAAACGCGCGCGAAGCCGCAACCGAGTCACCCGCTCCACAGTAGGTACGAACTGCACTACTGAACAGATATCAACAATTTCACCACCTCGAGTCGAATTTCGCCTGAAGTCAGTCTCCGAGCCTCCGCAATGCTGCAGCCTTCATGCGCAATACATCGCCGAGATCATCCGTTGGTGCAATCGAGCGTGATCTGCGTCAACAGTACTGCCCAAGAAAACCAACGCCATCCTTAGTCGATTCACTGGCTCGACGGAGCTGGAACGGGGTGCACCGAGCCATATTCACACTTGCTGGCAATGATTCTGGACCCGTCGGAGCTCAAGCGCATTCGCGGCTCAGCCAACTCCATCCAAATTGCTGGAAGACGAATCAGCTGAGGACCAGCGTGGGAAGGTCCACCGAATGATCCAAGCAAATGCCACCCACCCCTGAAATTCTGCAAACGTGTGGTAACAGACCGTGTGGTGACCTCGGAACTCCAAGAGACCTCACCGCACGGTCCGTCACCGCACACTCTTGGCACCCCCGGAGTCCCCCGTTAGAGGGCAGGATATCCACCCCGATGACAACCACCCCGACACGCGAGGCCGTTTAGCAGGCGCACCCCAAGCAGGACTCGAACAGGGCAGGGCTGTGGAGGAAACGCCCGAGGCCGTCTGGTAAGCGCCAACTGTCGGGTCTGGGTGGCTTCTCCTCTCCGGACCCGCCCCCCAACAGAGGAGGAGGAGGAGGAGGAGGAGGAGGAGGAGGAGGAGGAGGAGGAGGAGGAGGAGGAGGAGGGAGGAGGAGGAGGAGGAGGAGGAGGGAGGAGGATGAGGAGAGGGAGGGAGGAGGGAGGAGGAGGAGGAGGAGGAGGAGGGAGGAGGGACTCGAGTCCCAAAGCCGCGCGGTGACCCCGAATCCCCATCGGCCCACCGCACGGCGTGGCCACCGCACCGTCCGGGGGCCTCCGGAGCCTGCCCCGTGGACGACGGAGCTCGGCCCGGCAGGCCGAGTCTGCTCGGCGAGTGCGCGCGGAAGGCAAAAGAGTACAACTTTGGGGTATGGGTCTCGCGATGCCGGGGTTGTGAGGAGGTTAGGTCGGGCATAGTCCCCCTACGGGCGGCCTTGGGACGCAAAATGAAAAAAACAGAATACAAAGAAAAACTCATCGTCCGCGCACTCCCTGCTCTGCTGCTTCCTTTCGGTCTACTGCCGAGGAGAAGGAGCAGAAAGGATGCATGGGGACGGCAGAGGAGGAGGACGACGACGACGGCGACGGTCGCACCGCCGATTCCCAAACAGCGTTTGCCCCACGCCGCGCAGACACCGCCTGGGGCCCACGCAGCACCCCGATTCCCCAAACGGTGCTTGCATTAAGTCGGGCCTGTCCCTCTGCAGGGGGATTTTCGACGATAAATAAAAAAAATACCCCAAAAAGACTCCAAACATAAGCCACAACTAGTCTGGGGACTTTTTTGTATGTTTTGACCTTTTTGGTGTATTTTCGGGGTATCTTTTATTTCTCGTCGAAACTCCCCCTGTAGGGGGACACGCCCGACACGGTGCTTGCACTTGCGCGGGCCCTGTTTGGGGTTCCACCCGTCGCCCTGTCTTTGTTCTCTCGGGGCTCTCGTGGGGACAGTCACCTCCGCGCTCTGCCCAGGCCGAACTCTCGCAGCGCGCCCCCACATGCGGGGCTGGGCATGCATAGCTCCGCACTACTGCGTCGCAAAGCCCCCCAAAACTTTAACATGCAAGAACATACTCGAAAATGTTCAGAAAATCGTCCCCTGATTTTCTCCTGTCTTCGAATCTTCCTCCTGTGGAGGGACAGGCCCGTCTTAACGCTACACTCACAGCCTATGATAAGGACGGGCGGTAAGGACGCAAGGGCCTTGGACGGCTGCCAACACCCTGAGGGGCTGACCGGTGAAGACGGCGAAGGACGGGCCGCAGAGGCGAGGACGCGAGGGTGCCCTAAGTACAATCGTGCTTCCATGCTACGAGTGTTGACTGTAGGCCTCATCCTGGCCTATGTTGTAACTTCTGCAACCCATGTGAGCGGGCACGAACCATGTCCAAGCCCACTGCGTCTCGGACTCTCGGACTCCCTTCCCTAACAAAACCTGAGAGGCATCGGATGTGGATCGGCCTGCTGTTGATCCATAGCCACTGCGTCACTGTGTTTGGGCATCCTCTCCCCACTACCGAGGGACGACATGGATATGGATGTAAATCTCGCCCGGAAATGTCCGAGGAGAACGACAAGGGTAGGATAGCAAAGGGCAGGGTAGAGAATCAGCTCACACAGCTGGTTTCCTGGGGCCACCTGGCGCCAGGAGGCGCCAAATGTATCGAGGACTGTGACCCGCAGCTGGGCGGAAACCAGCTGCATGGAGCAGATTTCGTACCCCCCCCTTTCCTCCCTCCTTCCTCCTCCCTCCTCCCTCCTCCCTCCTCCTCCTCCTCCTCCACCTCCACCTCCTCCTCCTCCTCCTCCTCCTCCTCCTCCTCCTCCGCCTCCTTCTCCTAGTCCCTCCTCCTCCTCCTCCTCCTCCTTCCTCCGTAGCCTTATCCTACCCTTTCGAGCGGCCCGACATGAGCTCACGCTGCTGGCAACGGGCCCCGGAGCCTCTGACTGCTTCCAGTGGTGGACGACGCTGCGCCGCAGGCCTCGCCGGCCGAGCACACACCTGCGCTGTCGAGGGGGCAGCGCTTGTTTACGGTGAGAAGAAGCGACTCGAAAGAAGTGTCCACATTATCATCGCCGT